TCTTTGTACTGTTTTATTTAATTTTTGACCATTTCTTTGGCGCTTTTTTTCCCTCTTTTGTTGGAATTTTCCATAATTCTGGATCAGTCAGTAAATTATACCCCTTTCCTACATCTACGCGAAAAGGAGGTCAAAAAATGCCTCCTTTTAAAAGATCATCAATTAAGCCCGCTCCATCTAAATCCTTCCTGTTTGTTTTATAATTCTTTTTTGGTCTTATTTTGGTGCTCAATTGATCAAGAGCTCGAGATCCAACATTTTGTATTACAGAAGTGAGCTTTTTTAGTCCATAATTTATGGCCTTTTTCTGCAAATCATTATTTCTCAGGGCTTCGGATCCATAATATCTTCCCATTTCAACTGCTTTTTTACCCATCCATGGAAGAGCGTGTTCTACAAATAAATCTGTTGCATTTCCTACAATAGCATCAATGGAATAAATCGCCCCTTGCTTTTGAGGGCTCACTCCGTTTCCCTTCACGGATCGTGTTTTAGTGATTCCGCATTCCGCACAAGTACATTTCATCATTTTTCGTCCGTTTTTGGCTTGAACAATTCTTTCACTGTTAGGCACACATTCTGTCACTTTTTTCTGTTTTACCGCAGAATATGATTGTACCATTTTATACAAATTTGTTACATAAATTTAAGGCTTGTATGTTGGATAATTGATTTCATCATCATCTGATTCAATATCAGATAATTCTATCGGTTGGCAATTGGTGCATTCCCAGCAATTAAATTCTTTGATCTCATGCTCAGTATCTTCACAACAAAATGTGCAAAATTTTTTAATCATACAAATACATTACATAATTTTATTCATAATCACTCTCATAGCTATCATCACTGTAATCACTCCAATTGTCTTCACCCAAGTTTCATCATCTCCTTCACATTCATGTCTGGTATCCTTATTACAATGTTTACAGTACAGTTTCGTATCAATGGATTACACAATTTTATTAAGCTGTTGCAGCACTTTTCAATAAAATGCTCATTTTTCGTTGTGTCATAAATGTCAAACACTTTTAATAGATCATAATATGTTTGTCCTTTATTCATCATCAGAAGTAACAACACGCTGTTGTATTCATATTCTGTATCTGATTGTTCTGATGTAATAATGTGAGATTCTTTCTTCTGGCATGATTTACTATCTCTTGAAACGGAGACATCCCAAAACTGTCAAAATAATTGATGACACCATCTTTTATGTATGTGGCGACCCAGTGACTACCACTCATGTATCTAGGTTCAAGATTATAGATAAATATTGCTTGCGTATGATTGTGAGGAACAGTTTGATCCCTTAAAACCACATCTTTTATAGGTATTTTCAAATATTTACACCATTGTATTAAATCATGATTGCTCATGGGTATGTTTTTGTGGAATTTTGGTTTTACAATATGACGTTTAATAGAGGCACGCTTTTGAAGGCCCTAAACTGGCTATAATACCCCCCAAACCATTGCCTTGCTGTGTTTTGGTTGGTTTTAAATGAACACCAGAGCCGGTTTGGAGAGCAATAAGAATATCCTGCTTCTGTTTTGTGGATAGAAGGTGTTTATACGCAATCAACTGATTGATTTTACTTTGCGGGATTAAAAACCCTCCTACTCGCCCTCCAGAGATCTGTTTGACAATTTGACATGCGCCTTCGGATGCCAAACCAGCCAAACCCGACAATCTAAGTGTTCTACCCAATGTTGGTGCTAGTGTTCTACCTAATGATAAGATGAATGTTAATAAACTGCCTCCAACCTGCTTTCTGATATTGGTTTTGCCTAATTTAATATCCATGCCTTTGTTTAATTTACGGTTTTTGTTTTATCTCTTTACAATATTTGAAGGAACATAGTCTGAGTGTATCTCATCCTGTCAAAGAGTCTTTTGTGAGCGGTGTATGACATTTGCAGACTGCAGACTGCAGACCGCAGACTGCAGACCACAGATTGCAGATTGTAAATTAAAGGACACCAAAAATCTTCCTAATAAAGGTGACACCATCAAAAATATAACATCGTGTGAAAGTGAGAAAGTAGCCAAAGTTACATTGGCCTTATTTCCAAGATACTGTTGGCTATTCTTCACCAACGCGACTCTTTATTGACTCACCCGGCAAATCACTAATTGCGTTGATTCTTTATTCTTCTTTGATGATTGTGAATTGATAATGACAAGTAGCAATGCCCATTAATGCCTGTCTAAATAGTAGTCTTCTGTAAAAAAAGTGTTTAGATTGCGAGCACTTCGTGCTCACCACAGTTACGTCTACAAAAACAACTAGGATAGATCACGGACATTTAACACCTTTTAAATGACCTATTTCATCTTAGCAGTATTTAAGGATATGCCAAATAATCTAAACCGAACAGATCCTACCTGGACTCGACGAATTACCGGAAGTGCATTTTGAATTTCTAAATAGGCAAATTGACAATGGCTATTTTAACTGGGCAATCATTGCTCATGCTCAAATCCTAGTACACAGTTGGGGCCCCCGTAGAATAAGGATTCCGGCGTTGTTTCACAGACAGACTTATATAACCAGAGTTTAGTTTCGTCTTTGGTGCAGGCTAAATTGCTAGCCTGTTGCTATGGATTCATGAGCGAGTTTGTGACATCGACAGACATTATTCTGCTCTAATTCAGTACGAGACGAACAGCCTACAACCCCTTCAGGAATCAGGTCGGTGTAATTTGCGTCAAAAAACTTCGCTTCTAGGCCTTACATGTACTTCTCGGAAAAAGGTAATGTTGATGATGACGCCACCTTGATTACGATATTTTTCGTTTAATTCAATTTACAGTCTTGCTGCCTTATGAGGTCTGCAGTCTGCGGTCTGCAGTCTGCAGTCTGCAAATGTCATACACCGTTTTGCGAGCCTCAAAACAATAGTCTCTTTATTATGATAAGCATTGTTAAGATTCTCTTTCTGGTTTTAAGATAGTTTTACCTTTACTTCATAAAGTTGTGTCATATAATATATGTTAGATAATCTTCAATTAAAAAACATATTTGAAATCACACAATAACCAACTCATTTCCAGTCTTATCAATTTTAAGGATCTCTTCATAAAGAACAACAGTATGAACACTGAAATTTTGAGTTGCATTGGCTGATAATCTGTATCAGAAAATCAGCTGTTTGGGATCTCTTGTAATTTTTTCTGTCTGATAAGTCAGATTAAAATAAATTATAATTTGCCAAATTCAATTGTGTACCAGTATTATAATCATTTTTTCTCATCGCGTATGCCATCAGATCATTAAAAATACGTACTTTACTTTGGCTATCATACTCAGTTTCTGGATACAAATACCATTTAATACCATATTCTAACCTACAATCGCTCAGAGATGCTCCATCTAATGAATATGTGTTCATCGTATACGGAGTTGTTTCAGCATGTCTGCTTCCATTTGCATTTCTGTCGTTTTTTTTAGATAAAAGAAAATATGTTTTACATTATCAACACTAGCAGATATTTGAAAAAATCCACTTGTTGTAGTAGGAGCTGAAACCTCATACATCAGTCACTCATGTATGTCCATTGTGTTTCTTTCAAAAATGAGCTGACAAATTTATGATACATGCTGTCTTTTGGAGTTACTCGTGGAACCCATAGAATAAACCTATTAACAACGATACGACCATTATCAGTGGCATTGGCTTTGTGTATCAATTCATCATCATTATTCAGTTCTATGTTGAATTGAAGCTGCATGGGAACAAGCATTTTATCTTCAAGCTCTTCAAAAAAACTATACCGATTCAATGGAATGATAACATTAACATCTTTTCCTCCAGCATTTAAAGCATCATCGCGAGACGCTTTAGTTAAAAGTCTTCTTGCTTCAAATCCCGTATTTGTGTTTGCTGTGGTATTTTCAGTATCTAAATACCATAAACTGTTTTTCGCAACTGATCTCCTGTAATTATCAGAATATTCCAATAAATTATTCACAAATGGTACATTATGAAGGTTATCAGTGTCATAAACAATCTTGCCTGCTGATTTAATCATTAGATGCTTGATAAGGCTGTGAGCACCACTGATTGCTGTTTTTCTATCGGCATCAGCATACCCGTCTCCATCAGCCATTTTTTGAAGCTGAAACTGAACCTCAAAATAGGCATTATACCTATCGTAAAAAGAGCTCCCGTCGTTTATTGTAAGTTTAAAACCATTTTTAACTTGATTTTAGTTGTTTCCTGGCAATCTAATAACATGATCCAATAGGCCATTTGCACTAAGAGGTCATGTGACATCGTTTTTATGAAAATGAAAGTTATATGATTTTCCCTCTAAAAACGATTAGTAGGTCATATCTTAAACAAAATAATAGTGATTTGGTTTTTCAAACCCGGAACCATTTTCTTAAAATGAGTAAGTTCGTAGCTGGTGACCAAAATGTGATTTTTATAGTTATGAATTACCTCTTTCCGAACACAAATTTTGCACTTAAACTTCAAGGAAAATGTTGAAAATATGATGTGGTAACGTTTACAGCACATCTAAGCGTAACTATCAAACGTTTAACAAGATATAAGCAAAAAGTAGTTTTAGCCGCCATGCTGGAGGGCAAGAGTATGCCCTCCAACATGGCGGCCAATAGAAATCATACTACTTTGTTGAAAAATCTCCCTTACATGCGTATCCTCTCCAATATCGGGTGTAAGATAATTTTTATGTGCTCTGTCAATTTTTGGCATCAGCAAGATTCCAACTCATTGTTTAAAGGAAGCATTGGTCATGTGATCTCTTAGTGCGAGTGGCCTATTGGTATCTCACCAGTTCATTTCGTTACAAATATTCACTTGATCTAAAAGCCATATATATTAATAGTTTACATAATATCATGTCTACTGATTCCTCTTGTTTGACAGGAATATATATTCGGTCTTGTCATTGTTGTTGTTTTGCTTTTATTGAATCTACTTGCTAATTGTTTCATTATCAAATCACCACTTTTTTTTGCAACTTTTTTGCCTAATTTATCACCAGTATGCGAAACACCGGATTGCAGTGCTTTTTTGGCACATGGTTTGACAACTTTTTTAGTTAGTGAAGATAAAACACTTTTCATTGGTTTGAAAATATTGTCAACAATAGTTTGACTACCTTTGTGCCTATACATAAACCGACCCAACAGCGCATGGTAAAATCGCATGAATTCATTTGGTTTCATCTATATTATATTGTTATATAATTTAGTTTGAGACTGAATGACGTATCAGCTCCGTTTAAATCAATAATACGACGTTTGCCATCTGTTATGCACATTCTTATAGAACCTTCATGTTTTTGTTCACCACAGGCGGCCCAGACGTAGTATGTGTCACTGAATGAATATATTAATATTCACATGAACAAATTAATGCGATGAGTCATCGAAACTCCCATGAACTAAAATAGTCCAAAAGTCAAAATATAACAAAACAAAGCTTAGATACCTTCAACTGAACGTATCCTTGTCTTTCCTGGCCAGTTAAGTGGCATTTTGTTGAGTTTTGTAATTGTAGGTACTATCCACTAAAGAAGAATTAAAGGCTGGCTACAAAACAAACGGACCATCTCCACGCGCCTTCACACGAAGCGCTATAAATTCGAGAATAATCGACGAATCCGCTCCAAATTGCCATCGGCTAATCTGCAGGTAACGTGTGCTCCTGCTTCTTGCTCGCTGGCTCCACAAAACCCATCGCAACTGCACAAAAATCGCTCGCTCATCAACAAACACTGTTGACCTTTACGCTTCGATATGACCACAAACTACCAGGTTTAATACGCGACGTGAATATTCAAGCTTAGCGACCGCGTTCGCGCAACAATGCAGCACTTGCTATGGGAGGGATGGTACTACTGCTTCTAGGTCAATCAATCGGGAAAATAATATTGAAGCCCTTGTAATTTTTAAAAAGATCCAATCTGCCCTAGGATCACCGAACAGATACGAATTTTATAGCGGAGCTAAAAAAAATGAGCGGCAGTGGAAAAAGTGAACAAGATCATGTACCACATTTCCTCCATAAAAAGTTAAAACCAGGAAGTTTTCTGGACGTTTCACGTGCAGTCATGCAAATCAATGGCAAGGAAATGTACAAGAAAGTGTACTGCAATTAGACCTATTGTTGTTTTTCACAGTTCTGGTCAAGGGCATCCAACTTTTAATTTTTCACATTTCACTATCCGGGTTAGGCTATTTTTCGTAGAGAGTAAAAAGGAATCCTAAAATTTTCGGATTCTAAAATGTGATGAAAGAAGGAATCTGAAAAGTTATCTCCTTCGTAATACGTTAAATTGCATCTAAAATTTTCGGGAAAATAATTCTGAATTCCTCGTAATTTCGAAAAGGCTCAAGTTCCTCTAGAATGGCCGAACACGGAGATACAAATTTTATAGCGCCACTTAGAATGCATTTCTATAGAGCTAAAAGTACTTTATGAATAGCTACAAAAGTGTTTTCAAAGTATTTGAGGAAACAGTCGTTGGGTGCCCCTGTCTCGTTGCCTTCTCCGCTTAGCATTACACGATATATTTTATATTTAGTTTGAGCAAACTATAAATCATTAGCTTCGCTTTTAGCCCTCCTGACTAAATTTATGTAAGCGCTGTTTAGAATGCATTTTTAGATCGAAATTACTCTGGACAGCCATAAATGTGTTTTCAGTGCATTTAGGGGGAAATCATCGTTGGGTGCCCCTGAGTTTTGAGAATAATAATAATAATAATAAAAAGATATCTTGCACATAAATTTTACTTTACGATATCTTCAGCTGTTTCTTCTATTCAGC